AAGATTGTACACAAAAAAACAAGTCTATATCGATAACTACTATTCATTTAATCCTAGACTTTGACCAAGACACAACTTGGAGTAAGACTGCAGATAGTGCAGACTGTCCTCTACCACGTAAAGAGACAGTTTGTGTCTCAGTGTTTGTTTCTGTCCGTTTATGCAACCATTTCATCTTTCATTCAGTTTAAATAACCTCACAGGGCCCATTAAAGCTTCAATCTTATCCTCCCGGGGTGGACAGGAGCATGGGTTTGTCATCAGTCAGTGAATACAACTGGGGTTTTACTGCTGTTTCCACTTTTGACTGCATTGCAGAAGACATATTGTTTTGTGTTAGACTGTTGCATTGTAACGTCAAAACCAAAACTATTGCCTTTCATGGTTTTGTGATGTGGCCTTGGCCAAAACAATCACAAACCTAATGTCATAAACCTTTGGTATTATATTTAATTTGCGAACTAATAAGACAGATACCATATATTCCACATCACTGATGGCATTATTGAGTGGAACTAACGCATATTAATTACAGTGTAACCATGAAGTCTAAACAGATCTTCCTCCTCTGAGTGGAGTCGTCTGCGGATAGATCAACTGAAGAGTTTCATTTCTTAGATTCAGACAGTAGAAAATAAATCGTTAGAGATTTCTGGTTGCTCTTAAATGGTCTGTTGCTTATGACATGCTGATCGCTCTGACTGCAGCTGCTGCTGTTTCTGTCATGTCTGACCATCACTGTGAAGGATGGAATAATATAGGTGGAATATTATTATTTCACTGATTAAAGTGTTAAACACCTGACTATGGAAGCCTCATTTGGCCGTTCCAATGAATGGGATCTGGTCTTGGATGCTAATGATTGCTAGGTTAGGGACGCAGTTTTGCTTTGCTTCCTATTGAAGGTTAGGAAGTTTACCATCAATTTTAGAAGAAGATATACTTTACATTCACAAACAGGACCTATACATGTATTTAATGGAGAGATGTCAGGGTGAGGGGGCTGCCCTGGACGGGTGCCCTGTGCAGTTGGGAGTTCACTGCCTTGCACAGGGGCATCTCGGCAATGCCCAGGAGGCGAACTGGCACTTTTTCAGCTACCAGTCCACGCTTCATATTTGGTCTGCACGGGGACTTGATTGGTTCCCAAGCCAGATCCCTATGGACTGAGCTACTGCCACCCCACTTTACATATTTAACTCATTGCTTACTCAAAACTGAAGCCTACTGTCATCGTATAACATTAAAATATTGTCTTCAAACATTGTTTGAAAATACTTCCAGCTGGAGACCATCTTATGATGTGATCACTCCAGCTGTGATACAGTGATCCGCGACTTAAAGCAAATATCGGTCAGGGTTGTAAAGTGGGCGGGTGAGTGGCTCCCTCCCTACGTCCTGCCCCTTTTGCTTGGACCACACCCATCTTCAAACTTGGCTTTCATTTTGAACTCAACAACGCATCTGTACATTTTAACGACTGCATCCTGCGTGATTGCAATCTTATTGCGTTGACAAAAATCTGTCAACAGACAGACAGACAAAGTGCTCTAAACAGCCTCTGTGGTAGTTGCCCCTACAATAGGTGTCACCAGGACCACATTTCACCATGATGACACACACATAGACTCACATGGTGAAACATTACTAGCTGTCAGGGCATTGTCACGGGTTGGCTGGCTATTTGCCAGCGCTCCAAACCAAAAGCTCAAGTGGTTTCTTAAGCTAACACTGGAAAAACGGAGGCACTGAATTTAGTTGATTGGACTCCTGAATTATATTATGAGCCATGAGATGTGCGATATCTTCTCTCAGTGCTTGGTATAGTCACTACAATCATTTGTGTTGATACTTGTCATCTGGTTATCCCTCCCAGGGTCCTATGTTCCCAGGGTCTTTAGATATAAACTGACATTGTAAAAGCTTCACAGCTGGTAGAAAAGATTTCTACACACTTACAATTTTGCAGTGTTTCACTTTATTCTGATCTTTCAGTCCATCAGACCTTCATCAGGACATACATGAATCAACAATGGACAGACAGGTAAAAGTAACTAATCCTGTTCTAGTCATAGGCAGTATGCAACACTTCTGTGCATGACTGTGGTGGTAGAAGCTCTGCCTCTTGGGAGTTGTAGTTTTTAAGAGATCAAGTCAGGAAAGTCAAGAAAACTGTTGACTTGACCATAAATTTTGTGGTGTAAGTTTCAAGGCGTCTATTATATCAGCAGGCTATGTATACACTGTAGGTGGGCAATTTCAACTTATTGACACAAGGAAACATACATTAAACATTTTACTTAGGGCAGGGGTAGGCAACCTGTGGCTCTGGAGCCATATGCAGCTCTTTCACCCCTCTCTAGTGGCTCTCTGTGGCTTTGACAAAAAATATCACATGTAAATGAATAATGGTCATTTATTTATTATTATTTTTTGACATTTTCATTTTTATTTATCATTATTGTAGGCCTAAAGAAATTCTCCCATTCTCAAATTGTAAAAATGTGTAACCTCTGCACTGAACTAAAAAAAAAAAGTTTTAACATTTTGTCAGCTAAAATGTATGCCATATGTATACAGCCTGGCACCTTTTCCTCTACATTTTGCCAAACCTCAGTGGTGTCTAGTCTGAAGCCTCCATAGCTAGGCTAACTATGGATTCTAAATCCATAAAAGTCAGAATTTAACAGTGCGTGGACAGATTTGTTTGCTTTCGACAATGTTAAAGTACCAAATAATCATAAATAATTCACTGCAGAAGAGCCATCTTGAGGTAAAACATATTGTTGAATGCTCCTTTAGACCCATTTCTAATGTAGATAGGCTAATTTAGAGTTAATAAGCGGCATTACCATAAGGTTCAAATATGGTTTTTTGCTCCAAGCAGATTTAAAAAAAAAAATTATTTTAGTCAAAAATGATTCTTTTGATAGTTAAGGTTGCTGACCCCTGACCTAGGGGGGAAAACAACAACAAAAAACACACTACAGATAGTCTTACCTGGCTGTGAACAGTTTCTTATACAAAATAAAATGCTTCTTTAAAATGTGAGTGTGTTTTAACTAAAGTGACGCAGTATGTTGTCAGACATGCAAGGACACATCTCATCCTGTCCCTCCATCAGGAGACAGGCAACACAGCAGCACTCGCACTGCATCTGTGACAGTGTGTCCGCGTGCTTCCGCACAACAGCAGGTCAGCTGATTGAAACGGCACGCGGAAACTGTAAAGTCAATTGCAAAGCGCCAGTTGCTCTCCAAAGTTAGCGGGCTACATCCACAAACACCACCATTTCATGTTAACACCAGCGGGTTCCTTACGTGAGCGGGACTTTGGATATTAACACAGATAGCGTGTCTTATAAACACACTCACCGAGCTGTCAGCCTCAGGAGAAAGTTATGGCACAGGACGAGTCGCTGGTCTCCTTGAATGGGACTCAAGTAAGTTTGTTTTAAAAGTTTTTCTGTCGGACTTTGTCCCCTCCTGCATATTCAGACGGTGTCTTATCAGTGTCTGTTTAACAGGTGGAGTTCTCCGGTGCTATATGTGACGGGGTTTTGTTTATTTGTTCGACATCACCAGAGTCATGTGACTCCGTGACTTTCAGTTTTGTAGTTCCTGCTACAACTTCACTGGAGAGAGCAATGCCTCCATGTTACCCCTATACCATGTCATAAAGTGAAATTAGAGCACGGTATGTGTGTGCAGTGGTCATTAGAAAGCATACATAACATTATTATATCTTAACTATAACCTCTGTGTCCTCAGCGTGGGGTTAACTGCTTCATTAGTAGCACATTACATCATTCACATGAATTCAAATTATGTTCTCACATGATTATTGTTTTAAAGGTGGAGTTTACTGACACTATTATTTTTCTGTGCTCATGTCAGGGGTGCTATCATATTAGTGCTACTTATCAATATGGCTGCCCCTGACAAAGAATTTTCCCAGTCAACCAATAGTCGTCATTTGGGCCATTAGTCGATTAGTCGCCCGCATGTTTACGATGCTAAATTAATTGTTAAATGATATCTTTTGGGCGGGGCAACACAATGGTTTGAGTTGAAGGTGTGAGAAAGAATAGTATCAGTAACATTGTTAACACTGTGCTACATTACAGAGAAATACAAAACCGTGCTAATGAACCTTCATTAATATAGGCCTATATTTTATCTACAAGTGCACGTCACACACTGAGCGAGCCGCCTGTTAATGACGCTGTGGGCAAAGCAGTAATGATTGTGCTAAGTGGCTAATGGGCATGTAGCTACTTCCATGTTTCAGATGATGCGTCATGTTTGCAGTCGACCAATGAAGATGAGTTTACATATCACCTTGGGTTCATCCTTCACCTTCTCAAAATGATCCCACACTTTGGATTTCCTGCCCGACATGTTATTAACCAACCTGTGGAATAACCGCAGGTACCAGCCCTGGAAATTAGGGGCCGTACACATGCTGCGAAAACACGAGGTGCCAGAACGCGGTTGTGTCTTACGTTGCTAAAAGCATCGTATAGCCTGTTTACCTAAAATCCAGAGTGCAGAGCTGATCTTCTTCCAGGCGCTGTTTATGAGTATGTAGGCCTATCGTCTGTGGGACAGATGTAAAGCTCTGGGTAGCCCTGCACTAACATGATCAACTTTTCCGTCTTAATCAGACTGAATATTTACAGAAGAAGGGAAAGATATCTGTTGCTGTGATTGGTTTGTAACATGACTCTGGTTTCAGTGCTGAGTGTGGCCACTTCCTGTGTCTGTCCTTTCAAATTAAATTTCCACATGGTCCAGTCATATAGGTTTTGATTTATTTTGACAAGGGGCAGCTCCTAATAGAGTTTGACGTTTGTTTTATGTCTTTAATTTTTAAGTGACCAATGAAATCTTGCCAACTAATGACCTTTCTGGTTGACTAACCTTTGGTCAACTATTAGCGGCAGCCCTACTTATCTCACACTTATCTCTCTGTTTTATTTATTTGTTTTATTCCCAAAGATTTCCTACATCGGAAATGACTGCAAGGACATCCCAGACTTCCTCGGAGACACATACGGCAACTTTGCAAAAAGGCTGGATCTCAGTTTCAATCAGCTCAGGTAGGTGTCAAACATGAACGAACATGTAATCAACAGGATGTTTATGCTATGTCTCTGTCCCTCTCTTCTATCTCAGTCTGCTACTGCATCTGTCTTTACAACAGGTGCAATTGAATGTGTGTCCTGGGTCTATAGGTGGTCATAGTGTCATCATGACATCAAAGAGCTGAATGAGTGTTAGAGCTGGGCCGGTGCCACGCTGGGGCAGGATAAAAGGCGTGATCGATAAATGTGACATGCTAATTCGGGGGCAAATAGAAGAAAAGAATCCTCTGTCAGGACATGAAGGAACACCTCATGGCAGCTGCTTCAGAGGGGGCTGCCATTTCAACAGCAGGACTAGCACAGTTGATCTGGCAAGTAAAAGAAAGGAGATGATGGTTATGAGGTGCTTTTGTTTCTGAGCCCCTTTCATGACTGTCAGGCCACGAAGCCGTCTCAATAGAGGCGCTTTTTTTGTTGAAAATTTTTGTCTGGAGGCAGTGCTTGAAATGTGATGTGATTTACATTGTGTCATATTGCACAATAGCTCATTTACACACAGTGTTCAGACCAGTTGGAAAAAGCTGTCTGGGGTCAGTGGATAAATGACTAAATGAACCCACTGTTGAAGTGCCTTTGAGCAAGACACTGTGTGACTGTGAAGCAGATGCTGCTGAAAATAACCCCACATCAGTCCAAGGAAACATACAACCCAAGACCCACTGACCGAATATTCACTGTAATCATGTGTGCACACAGTTTTATGTAGTATGGGGCTCACCATACTATGGTATTGTGCCAGTCATTGTAAATGTGCAACAATGAGCGATTATTCAGACAATTACAAGGACTGTTGAGTTTGAGGGCTGCTCTTGGTTAATTGAACCTGAATAGATAGATAAATCAAATTGCATGTGGTTGGCATGAATATAGTAAGAAAGGAAAAATTATGATAGAATTTAAGAGTAATCATTTTTGATTTGTACTTTTCCGCTCTTGTTGTGAAGATAATTTGGTCAAATTTAACATGTATAAAACTTGTCTTGATGTCTTAATGTCCCTTTGCAGATTTGTTTTTAGCTGTGTCTAGCGACCTTGTTCACAATCTATCATGAGAACATTGAGTAAAATTAATCGTAACTAACAAACATGATGGCCAGGTGCTATGACAATAAGGAGGCTTTCACATAGGGGGCCTGGATCCGGGTTTACTTGACCCCAAAGTCCAGTTTGTTTGATTAGTGTGAATGCTGTGTTGCATCTGTCTTGAGTAGAGCTGTCCTCTGAAAGTACAAGATTCAAATCATCAGTCGGAGATCCTCAAGCTGAGCAGTATTTATTTATTTTTTTTAATGTCAGTAGCGTGCAGTGTACTTACGGGGACATCTTGGTCCTTAAATTTAGCTTCTCACTTTCACGCTGCTCTCTGGTACATGCAGCTGTGGACCAGGGACTGGTTGCACAAAACAACCTGAAGTTTTTCCTGAAGTATGATACTTAAGGCTCAATTTCTCCTTAGCTGAGGGACTTGTACAGTTGCACAGAAAGAGTTAAGGAAAAACGTTAACTCATTTACTGTGTTGAAAGAGATTTTACAGCGGTACAAGATTCCATGGAGATTGTTTGCTTGCTTGGACTCACAATTGTGATGCCTGTTGTCGTCTCACAAAGTTGGCTTATAGTTAGTAAAAAAAAAATGGATAAAGTAAAGAAGACAAGAAAACCATATTGATCAGTGGAGGAAAAGATTATACTTCTGGAGAAATACAATCATGGGAAGCAGAAACTACAAAGTAAATTTGATCCCCAAATACCAGAAAACAGAAAATGATTGTAGGAAGAAGCAATGAAACTTAATTTAGTCAAATCTATAATGTAAAATCAAAAGAGTATCCATTTTTTTTCATTTATCACCATAAACTTGGACATGTTGCAGTTAAGATAAAGTCAGAGGTTTGCTTTGGTTGCTAAGGTCTTTTCAAGTTGAGGGATTCCTTAAGTTTAAGAACAAGACAAGAAGAAAACCATAAATGCTTCAGTGAACATTTTAAGAAAACCTTAAGGAGAAGACTGAAGGGTGTTTTGTGTAACTGATTTTATTTTTAGGAAACCTTAACTTGGACTTTAAGGAAAATTTCAGCTCACAGCAACGTGATATGATATAGTCTCTGGCTTTTTTGTAATATCTAGTGTTAGCATGTGTTAACTCGGAGAGCTACCTTTGCTTGTTTACTAGGTAACATCAACATCACTGTCACCCTGAATCTCTTACCAAACTTGGAAATGAGGGACAAATAGTCAGATATTCATATTAAACAGCCAAATCCAATGTGACTGACACAGTTCTGAGTTGGGTACAGCCCTAGTCTTAAGCAGGCCTTTAGTGTACTACTCTTGAATGGTTTGCATCAGATGTGAAAACCAACATGACCAAATCATGGAAGTGAACTGCTAATGAATGCGAGTAACAGTTGGTGAGTGGAGTTGCAAAGGCATTTCTCAAGGGCACTGGTCTCCTGACAAAATTTGCGCATGCGTGCAGCACACGCTTATCTCTCTATATAATAGGTAAGCAGGTGAGAAGGTTGTCCTTGTGATGGTCTCCAAAATGGTAGTAGGCATAATGTGAAAGTGGACTTTTTTAATGAGCTTGGGATCTTGTGATTGCCACAGTTTTTGACACTGTAGTTATGTAAATGATGATGCAAGTGTGCTCAGGTACAGGTGGTTACTCTGCATCATGGATATAATTTAATGTACTAACAGTAAGAGAGATGGTGCGCCTGAGTTTTCATTTTCAGTAGTCATGCTGCCCTCTGATGCACCTGTCACAAATTCAGGTGTTCAGGAATGTTTTTCACTTGAAGCCCTGCAATTGAAAAACAAACATTCATTGACTGGAGTTGTATTCTGTTTTCCCCTGGTCAAAAGCATCATGCTGTACTTTTGGTTTGACATGTAATCAGCCACTTTAATTAATGCCCCAGTGGGTGATCAGAAGCTTTTCCACATAAGTGTTATCAAACAGATAATATTATTGTTAACATGATGTAACTGGTAGACTTATTAGTACATTTTGTTCATAATGCAGAATGTTTGCCATCAGATCATGACTGACACATGTCTGTGGTACAAAATACCAGTCAAATAGTAGACGTCTTGGTGTTACCTTTGAGGACGTGATGTTATGTGTTGCAAACAGCTTCATGAAATCCGACTGAAACAACCCTTATGTGTGTTGCTTTCAGGGAGATCAAGACTGCCATTATGTTTCTCGCCTTTGAACCCGTCACATTAAGGACTTGATGTTTAGAATTAAATATTTATGACTCAGATATTACTAATTCATTATTAATTTTCAGTTTGGCTAATCTCAGATGTCAGATATCATTACTGAACTTCAAAGGCTGGCATGGGCAGAGAAGCGGTGCAGAAGCAATGAAGTGGTACTCGAACCATTTGGGGCTCATATCAGTGGACTATTGATTGATGGTTTGCTAGTGGGCAAAGTGATCTGTTACATAGTGCTTCATCTTTTTCTCCTGTAGACACTGTGTATAAATGGCTCACGTTAAAAACCTGTATAGCAAGCTAACATGAACGTTAACTCCCATATCTCTATCCATAGCTATAAAGTATACATTACTGACCTGCTACGGTGGTTTTGAATGCCTTTCCATCTTACACACGCTCAAATTACAGGCCTTTATCCACTGTTCTCTTTTAAACTTATTCTCTGTTGCAATTGGTGTCAGTGGGAGCTCACATGATAACATGGGTGGTCATGGGTGAGTGGAGCTGTGAAACTGAATAAGCAGCTCAACATGTGATAAAGTTATATGCTAACTAATGCATAGCAACCCCCCTCAGTAGTTTTGATCCCCATAAGAATGCACAGAGAGACAGAGGCCCCTGACTTGCAGCTTAATGGTGAAAATTTTTCCTGCCGCTGTATTTGTGTGTAGCTCTTTGAGTTTGGTGGTTATGGACCAACCAAATACCACTTTATTTTTGACACAATATCTTAGTAGAAAAAGTTCAATATTTCTGTAAGATACTGGTACCTGTCCTGATATAATAGCACACACTACTCTTTGTTCAAGTATTTGTGATTACTCAAGGAAATTAGCCCCAATCAACTCTGCTTCAGATCCTATAGAAGATATATTCAGCATCACATTTCCAAACATATTTTTTCTTGGACTGTCTTTTCTATCTGGTGGGCTTTCCTGTAAGGTGACTGTCATAATGAAAAAACTAATTTTTACATCATTTTTAGTGAATACACACAGAGCTAGGTCTTAGCTTAATCCGTTCAAAGTTGGCCAGTAAACGTCACATTCAAACAGACGTAGCTTATTATGGCTAAAATAAATGTAAAGCCATACTTTCCAGGGTCAAACAAAGAGGATTACCTGATTGCTTGAGGCAAGTAAAAGGCCATGGCAGGCTAGGAAATCTAGCGACTCACTAGCCTGATCAAGCAAGGATTGGTTACTTGTATAAAAATGATGGCGGGGACTATTTCTGACCCAACATTAACTTAAACTTTTCCGTTGATTGCGTTGTATAGTCTGTCATAATCATATAAATGACAAAAAATGGAGAACCACACAGGGGTGGGGGGGTTGATGCTGAACAACTTCTTGTTTTTCTTTTGCAACTTTGATTTGACTTTCGCTGGTTTCTTATCAATTCGTGAATTTATTAACATGTTTGTACATTAAAATGTCCCTAAGGTTTAGTTTTAGTATATCCTGTGTATATATTTAAGGAATAGTATCCTTATATTTACTTATATTTTTTGTTAGTTTTTTGTTTTTTTGTCTCCTTTCTTATGTTTTTGGATGAGTATCTTCATCCTTTTACGTTTTCTATTTAAAATAATATTTCCAAATGCACAAATGAAAACCTGACACATTTTTGGAACTGCTCCTGCACTTGAATTTGAGCATCTTTTAAGAAAAACAAATCTGTACCAATGAAAAAACGGTGGCTTGCTGAAGCGCAAGAGAGTA